AGTAGGGTGACAAATGGCCAAATCGATGGAGAGCACATACCCCCTATATCTCGAAAGATTTTGAAGTTTTTGAAAAATTTTCTTCACAAAATCATTTAAATTGTTATTTTTCATAAGAAAACACAAAAAAACTATTTTTAAAACTATGTTTTCGTATTTTTAAAAGAATTATTAGTTTTTGGCCAAATACTCAACGACCTACTAAAATCAACATAACTCAATTACGTTAGCTTACTTTTTCAAAGTTTATACAGTTTTGAAAACTAGATATATGGGGCTACAAAACTGCGTTTTTACTTGCCTGGAAACTCTTCATTTATGATAGTTGCGGCTTGTTTGAAGATAATTTTCCTGAAATTTTCACATATGTTCTACCATAATGGCACGAAAACATTCAGAACCTAAACTTTGTTATATGTCAAAATAAAGCTCTTATATACTACTAATAGGAACTGAAAACCGTTTTGCAATATCTTAAACCAGTTAAGATATTTCCCGGTTCAAACATGGTATGAAAAAACCAGAATTTTCACTAGTTTTCAACTTCAAACAGCTCTAGAATCGCGAAATCAGCACCAAATGACCTGAAATTTGGCATTTCTATCTACTTTTATGTCCTCTACAAGAAAAAATCACCCAAAAAGTGTAAATCGGAAAAGTCCATTTTTCAAAGTGAAAGTCCCTTTTTTTTTCATTTTGCCCCATAGTGTCTGGTAAAGGAGGAGTTGTAAGTGATTTGATAAGAATTTTTTCTTTGTCCTTTTTTGTCTCTTCTTACTGTATTAATTTTAATTTTTTTGTCCCCTTTAGATAAAACTGAATGTAAATTTAATGATGGCTGTAGATCATTAATTAAAATCACTTTACAGTTTGCCGCTGTCTAATGAAAATGTTTGCTTAAATGTCAGAAGAAGTTGCTCATTTTTTTTGTTGGACTTAGAACTTTTACTGTCCTTAACAGAAGTGGTTTATTCGTTGCAGCATAGACTGTATATTTTCTTCATTTAAAGAATTCGTTGACTTAAAATTCCCAACTCTGATTTTGTTGAACTTTTTTGCCTTTGGACATTAATTTTCGCTAGAAAAAAATAAACATTTTGATGACAGGCAAGAGCAGTAAATGAACAATTAAAACAAGTTTTCTTATCTTTGAAACACTTTGTAATAATTCTTCTGTTTTTATGAACAGCTAAAAGCTCTTAATTATTTATTCATGTAAATTTTTATGAAATATTAAAATGATTGAAGGATCCGAACTTAAAAGAGCTTTATTTTATTATTACAAGACTCAAGGTAGCTGTAAAATAGAACCACGTTGAGCAAGTTGCTTCATTTTAAACTTTAATCCTTTCAACTTCAAAAAGAGTTAATATAGTTCAATACACAATGAACCACTATCAACACAACACACAGTCTGTGCATTCAAGTGTAAATAAATGAGTTAACATTGCTGACATATTAACAAACTAAATCCACAAATCCACACATTCTGTGCTTACTCAGCACACAGCTTGAATGCATTCAAGTGTATATTAACAACCTGTTTACTCTCAAAAAGCTATCAAACCACAATAACCTGTTGGCATTTCCTGAAAGACGGAAGTGAATTATTAGTTTTTGAGGCTTTAAGTGGATTTAATATTTTGAGAACGTTAATATGAGAACTTTGAGCTTTACTTCCTATTAATAAAAAAAAAACACAGAATTCCCCGTGTTATTGATCGAGGGACTTCAGCGCATTTTTGACGCAGCGATCTGTATTTGATTATCTATTTATTTTGCGTTCATTTACAGATCATTAGAAGATTAGAAGATCATTAATTTTAGTGCAATTAGCAAATAATTACAATGAATGCTTATATAGAAAGGCTTTGTTATTTAACGGTCAAAAAATAATTTGAAATTTTCCCGCTAAAAGTTGCACTTCAAAAACAATAACTACAGTATAATTAAATAATATCAGAGGTCGAAGCCGACATGAGTTCGCTCCGGTTCGCTAAAAAACCGATTCGATAACCGGTAAATTTGTATAGAATGTTATACTTTACAAGTGGCAGCAGAAAAAATTCTATTCAATTTTGAATCGGTTTTTTAGCGAACCGGAGCGAACTCATGTCGGCTTCGACCTCTGAATAATATGTTTCAATGAATTTTCATACATAAAAAGCAGAGGTCGAAGCCGACATGAGTTCGCTCCGGTTCGCTAAAAAACCGATTCAAAATTGAATAGAATTTTTTCTGCTGCCACTTGTAAAGTATAACATTCTATACAAATTTACCGGTTATCGAATCGGTTTTTTAGCGAACCGGAGCGAACTCATGTCGGCTTCGACCTCTGATAAAAAGTTTATGATTTAATGGTTTTTTGAGATTCAAATTTTCTAAAGGTCAGTAAGTTTTTAAAAGCTTCCCGCCAAAAGATACACAAAAAATCATTAATTATAGTATATTTATCAATTTAATATTTTTCATTCTCCTATATAAATTGTTTATCATTTAACGGTTTTCTGAAGTTCAAATTTTGTAACGGTTGTATGCATTTGAAAAAATCTTTGCCAAAAATTACAGTAAAAGCATTAATTATAGTATAAATAACAGTCTGTTGCAAAAAAATTTTTCATATAAAAAGGCTTGGTAATTTAAGGGTTTTTTGAGATACAAAATTTTTCAACGGTAGAAATAAATTCGAATTTCAAAACGCTCTCATCACGTGTTTTTTCATATGAAATATAAAAATCATTAATTATAGTACAAAAACACTGTTTCAAGACTTTAAAATGTGTTTCCCGAAAATAAAACAATGGACCTGAGCTAATAAAACAAACTAGAACTCTCTACGATGTCTAGTTAAAAAGTTTTTCTCCGCCCGAACGAACAGACAAAGTGAGATATTAAGCTACCATTTAGAAACAAGTTTCAAAAATGCGCTAAAAACAATTTTTCCAATACGAAATCTCGGAATCACTTATATTCCTTCAAAAGCACTTAAATTTTATTTCTATAGATATCACTCAAATATAAATTGAGTGCTTTGAATTGCCTTAAAGTGTACTTAAGTCTATCTTTTGACACTCATGATCACCCTCAATCAATTTGAGTCAATTTTAAAAATGTTTTTAATACTTTAATAATTAAAAACCAATTTTTTAATTTTTATTTATTTTTAAAAATTAGAACCAAACCTCAAGAAAAATTGGAATAATGTTTTATGTAAGTACACGACCCAACTGTCTATCCCTTTTTATAAAGGGAACAAGAAGCTTTAAATGCTTTTACACAATCAATTACTGTGAAAATAAAACGAAAAGGTATTGCTTAAACTATAAAAATTTTCCATTTTTCCCCCTTTTTATACTCTACTTGGTAAATATTGTGTACATAAACATCTTTTACGATTTTGCTATTATTCTCTTATCTACTTCACTTTAAAGATTACTAAGGAGAAAAAACACACAGCAAATAGCTGCTCTGATTGCGTAATATTATTACATTTTGTTGTAGGGAGAGGTGAATGTATGCTTATATCTTAACAAAGAATATTGCTCTATCAGTGATAAGGATGAAGGGAAAAGTAAGTGAAAGTCAGGTTAAATTAATGACTGGAACGTCTTTTTGTGGGAAATGGTGAAAGCTTTGATTGGTCAATATGATTTAAATTTGAGAATGGCTAAGAACCAGTTTTATAGTCACGAGACTAAATCTCCATCAATTTTATCAATCCTTAAACTTATTTATCAGGAAGTGCTGGGATATTTCTTAAGATTTGATGTGAAATTTAAGTTTTTTGATATTTAAGTAAAGCAAGATTTTTGACTTTAAAAAACGGGTTCAAAAACCTGTTCAAAAATTTCACATTTCCATGCATATCATCCAAAATGAACTCTACAAAAATATTCAAAGAATTATTTTATGGTTCAATAAAAATGTAAGAAAAGTGAGCGTATAAAGTTATGAATTTATCTAAAGTGACATTTATTGAATATTTTAGTAATAACATTATGCAATCATCTCATCAGAGAGTAGAAAAAAAGCATCAGCTCTATCTTTATCTTGCTTTCTTTTTCTTTTGCATTCACATGTGACATAAATTGTCAATCAATATGGAGACATTTTTTTGCATGAATTCCAAGCACCCCACAAGAATACATAAGGAAATGAATGTAACAAGAAAAATGTATATAAGACAGTAAAGTGGAGACGGAAATAGGAAAAATGCACGGGAAAGTGTACAAAATGAAATATTTATGGCATTTCTTTCGTATATATAAAAATATTTTGATGACAACCCGAGGAACGTCAAAATAATCCTTTCCATTCACATTCACTGTCTTTAAATCCATTAAAGTTTTATGGATTTTCCTTTCTCGTATTTTTGTAAGAAAATGGATTTGTCGACGGATTACATTAATAACCCAGATTCCGAATTGTTGTCGTTTGTTTCCTGTTTTATGAAAATTTTATAAATTCTTGTGAAAAGGTTGGATATAACAATCAAAATAAATTGAAGGGATTTTTGTTGCTTATAAGATTGATTCATATTCTGATTAAGGAAAAATGTGATTTTGATGATAAAAAAAAAATAATTTTTTTTAATAAGTTTCATTTTAAGATAATTTCTTGTAATATTTCTTCAAGTATGATAATATTTTTATTTTATCAGACTCGTAAGATCTTTACTGACTCCTGACTTAACTAAATTTATAAGCTTCAGTACTGACAACATCTCTTTACTGCCCAATTATTTTTCTTCTTCTTCTTCTTCAATAAACAATAAATTAAATTAGCAGTTTACAGCAAGGAAATTACTACACAATATTCTATAGCATGCGAACGATAAACAGAAACTACGGACGGTGAAGAAATAATAAACGCTAATTAACTTAATTTTAATTGGGTAAATTAAAACTTCTTTCTTCTTCTTCTTTCTCTTTTAAAGTATTGAATTTCTTAACAATTTAAGATTTTTACAGCATTAAATATAAAGTTAAATTTCAACTTACTTTGCCATAGACACCAGCACTACTCAGCTCATTCTCAATAACCATAACAATAATGCCAAACATTCCCATCACGAGGGCATAGTCACTGATGCGCTTTCTCTTTTCGAAAAGTGCTTTTCTACGTCCCAATCGGTAACCGACATTTGGTTTTTGGTTCTTGTCATTTTTGTCTCCTGAAGCTTTGTAGGTGCCACCTCCTAGGCCGCGCTCCTCCATGTACCTAAAGTATCAATACATTTAATTTTAAAAGTCTGTACCCAATGTGGTATTTTATAAGCTTTTGAACAGCAATCTTAAAGCTGTACTGCTCTAGATATCAGACAAATCATCAAATAAATCCCAACCATAAATATCTCAAGATTATTGACAGTATTAAACAGCAAAAGATCATTTCAACCCTCAGACATCCCACAATGCGAGTTAATTTCACGAGAAATGCTTACCTGGGATATTCTGATCGAACATCAACAAGGGCTAAACCCGCTTCTTCGTTGCATGCAGCTTCTCTATTAGTCTCTCGATTCCCAAGGCCAGTTTTCATCGAAGGTATCGAGAGGGTTGATACGGGCTTTCGGAGCTGCAAAAAGATTAAAAAACATAAATTGAATTAATTTCTTTGCGAACTAGATAAGAAGTAAATCATATTCTATAGAGAATTAATGTCAATTTCCTCTTTGTCATTTGCCTGATTGTGGCACTTTTTTATCTTCATTATTTGAACAAGTAAGACAGGCTAAGGAAGTATAAAGGAAAAAAAATCTCTTGGCATTCAATTCTATTTATAAAACGTTCATAAATTTTAAAAAGTAGAAAAGAAAAAAAAGCAAAAGGCAAGAATGAAGAATGACTGTAGAAAATTGATTGTAATAGAATGCTCACAAAATGTGTATCATAAAAGATTTCTGATTGCACTTTCTGCATTGCATTTTTGCTCGTTGAATTATAATTATATTTGTGTCCCAATGGGATTTCATTTGATTTCTATGATTTTGAAACTTTTAAGTCTAATCCCAAGATAGCTAATTTGTTATATACTTTATTTAATGGTTCCTGCTATGTTCTTTTAAATATTTTTTGACTATTCTAAGGTGTAAAGCTGTTTAAAAATACGGATAAATGAAACTTGTAAGCAACCGCTTTACTAAAGCTTTAAGCAAAGAATATTCCGATTTTCCTGATAAAACAAGCATGAGGAAATGTGCATTGAGTTGTTCATAAGCATCACGATACTGCTTTATAGTTGGAAATGAAATATGGACAACCATAAAGCTTTCAATTTTTTTTATTCTATTACGCAAAAGCTTTTTTGCTAATTTTTAAAAGCTTTCAATTTTCTGCTTTGTAAAGTTTCTTTTGTGAATTTTAATGGATGGATATGAGTTATGACAATTTAATGCTAATTCTTTGATGGATTTATCTTCTTATATTAAGTGCATCTGTCCTTTTTCAGACATCAAAAATCCTGCTTTGAGCAAAACTTTTTAAGCAGTACAAATAATAATTTTAAAACTCTAGTTTCGCTTTATTTAAGCATGCAATCATAACTTTTTAATTAAAAATCCAAGCATATTCATTCTAAGGACATCAACAGCCAATAAATGCCAGAATCAAATAAGAAGTGAGAAAAATATAAACAAAATTTTATTCATTTGCTAATCTTTTTCTGTCCCAATTTTACAGCATGCAATACAATTTCATGTAATGAGTAAAGTGTGTGTCTTGTCTGTAATCAAGCGAGCAATGAGATTTCCTCAATGAAGACTAAAAAAGTAAATGAAAAATTCTCTTCAGCATTTTGTAGTCCCAAAACGATTTCCCATAAAAAGTTCATTACTTTCCTCACTTCCATACAGCCATTGGATTTGTATTACATTTTTTTTCTTATCAAAGGAGCCATATACTTCCACTTTTAGCCCAAAAGGAAGCGAAAAAAAGTTGAGAGTCATGCATTTATACCCATTTACTTTTTTCTTAACAAAAAAAAAATTGCTTGAAATAAGAAGAAACTTACATAAAAACAGCAAGTCTACTTGTATTCACAGAAGAAAAAAAAAACGAGATGAGAATTTTTATTGTATTGTGCTGCACAAAAAAGGAAAAAGAAAAATTTCCTTTATTTTCTTTTATTCAGCCTAACAATACACAAAAAAGAAGTTCTATATTTATCATCAAACAATGTGATGAGTCTGAGTGGCAGTATTGATTCAATTATTGTGAATCTATTCTGTTCTATTGTTGCAACTTCAGTTTTCAAACTGGAACATACTTGAACTTAATCACATGTTATATCTTCAGATAAGAAGAAGGAGGATCATTTGATTTTGTGGTTAGATAAAATGTGAACATACATTTTGGGAGTGGCTGCAATGAAATTTTATGTTGGATTTTTTTGTGATGAAATATCTTCGGCAATGTTTTTCGATTTAACATTGGTTGTAAATCAATTGTGTTATTGCAAGAAGTGATGTAACATACTTAACTCGATTTAGGGGAAGACGATTTGTGTGACAATTATTGCATCTGAATTGAGAGCTTTAGAAGAAATTTTTGCTTGTCTTTTTTTGAATCATATGTGCTTGAAACGAAGCTCACAGCCTTTCTTTATAGGCTACAGGCAATAATATCATCAAGAGAATGATTCTAAACCCAAGGTAAACTGTGATAGACCTTGTTGAGTGACCTAAATTAAGTGCAGTAGCTTGGACTTGTTAAACTCTCTTTATCTGCTCTGTAAAAGGAACTAGAAACATCACATGTTAACTATAACTGGAAACAAAACCTCCCACAACTAGTTGCCAAGTCTGCAACATCCCATATTTTACTCCAACACTCATTGCATCAATTCACAGTCGATAAAATATTGGAAGTGACAATATTTTTCAAGTATTTATCTTGCAATTCACTTTTAACATCAATTCGATCCTAATGTGAGTACATAACATTAATGATTATAATGACAATAATAATACCAATGATGATGAGAATATAAGAGTCTAAGGAAGATGCAGAGATAAGGAAAGGCAGCAAAAAAAAAATACAAATGAAATAGACTTGATGCTCATGATGGAGAAATAATAATCTGCTAATGACAATCGATATTTGTTACTGTCACATCTGCCATCATCGTCATCCCTCCTACTATTCATCCATATCTCTCATTCGTTTTTTTGGATTAAAGAAGGCTTAATGTCTTCTTTTACTCTCACTCGTGATAAAGACACATAGAAAAAATATTGGAATTTCGAGGAAAAACATTGTGTTTTTGTTCCTTTGTGAAATTAATAACATCATTTGATATCCTCATTTGTTGGTTCAAATAAAAGTTATTGCGGACATATGTGTTCTTTATGTGGAATGAAAATAACAAACATAGATACGCTTTTGTGTGAGAATAGAGCATTTGTCACATGCTAAATGTAATGAGAGTTAATCAAGTAAGATTAAAATTGATGATTATTTGAAAAACATTGGAATTTGGTGAAGGACAGGTGACTTGTCAGGTGAGTGCTTTAAGAACTCTAGTTACTCTTCAAGGGCTAAATATTGGTTCTTAAGATTTTCCTTAATTTTTGAGAAATTTAATTCCTAACTTCAAAACTTTTGATGTCATTAAAAGTGTGATGTCAAGTGGACATGCCTTGTCTTTAATTCCTCAATTCACCCAAAAATTTCAGATATTTTCGAACATACTCATATGACGTCGGTAAATTTTGTTGACTCTCAAATTGAATGTTGTTGGCTAAATATAGCACTCTAATTAATGTCCATCTATCTAGCAATTCTAATTTGATATTGCATTTAATTACAACGTTCGGGAATTTTTGTGTGACAAGAGAATAATCTTCTCCCACTCCATAAATTTCATTGACATCCACAACAATCTATGGTCATTTATTTTATATAAACGAGCATGTTTAGCTACAAATTAGGACATATTGTGTTACTTTAATGGACGATTTTTGACGAGTTCATCAATTATTTATTATTTTCGGCGTCAATCAAAATCACATCATATAAATGAAGTATCGTCGTGGTGCCTGCTTCTTTTCGTAAAATACATAAATAAATGAATAAACAACAACAGAAAGACAACAAAAAAAATTTCATTTTATGTCCTGATGATTAATCTTAACTTATATATTACTTTCTTCTTTTTGATTCAATAAATTTATTGATAGTCATTGTCTTTGGCATGGAGTAAGGATAAAGGAATGTGCAATGTTATGGTAAAGTATATAATAATAACATTAATGATGTTTTGTTTTGTGATTTTCAGAATCATTATGCGCACAAGCATTTAAAAAGGTTTATAAGCACTTTATTGTTTTAATAAATTTTGATGATTTTATTTCAATCTCCGAATAAGATTTCAAATCTTCAACATTAATCGGCATGACGCAATGAGAAATACAGATCAGAATTTACGTCAAAAAGTCAAAGAAAAGTGAGAAGCCTCATTGAGCACACAAAAAAAAGATGACCAAAATAAAAAAAGCTCTACGGATCGATTGAAATTGAAACCCTTCTGAATGATGAACTTGAAAAATGATACGGAACAAGGCAGTTATTGTATTTTTTGCCTAGTTCGACATTGAAAGGAAATTTCTAATATTACTTTATATATCAAGTTCAGTCATGAATGCGCACTGTCCATTAAAAGGAAGGCATTGAAATGATTTCCATTGATGATGAGATTCTTTTTTTGTCAGTGATATTCCATACGAAAATATTTTAATTCACAAAAAGGTCACATAAATGCTATCAATGGAAGTATCTCAATTACACTAGGATGGCTGAAATGAGACATAAAACAATTTAATTTCTCTTTTTCTGCATAATGGACACAGAATATTGTTGTGTCGACACAATTAAATTACAATGAGCTCTAGTGGTTACTTAAGTCTCTTTTTTTGGCTTCTTCAATTTGCAATGATAATGTATAAAGTCATAGAATGTATAGCAATATCAAATAGGGGAGAGAATAAAAGGGTTATTGTAATACAATAAAGGAGAAAGAAGTGAAAAAAGTGAAACCACAAAAACATGAGCATGTCCTTAAATTTAAAAGGACAAATCACATGTCAATTTTTTGTAAAGACAAAGTTTGAATTGAAATATTGTAAAGGTAAAAGGGAGAATATGGTCAGCAATGTGATGAAATAAAGCTGTTCAGACTACATTGTCAGTGCAAAATTTATTAAAAATGCGAAATTTCATGGAAATATTTCGAAACATTCAATTAATTTGATTACAGAGTGTCTCAAAAAACATTAATTGTCAAATGTTTTAAAACTTCAATGGTTTGACAACCACAAGACATCACTAAACCATAAATAAAAATCTCAATTATTTAAGTGGTACTTTATCAAAATTTGCTTCATCATCTATCCCAACCCTAATGTCTGATAATTTTTAAACTTTTATAAAAAAAAAGAACTTCTAAAAGTAAATAGCCAGAAAATTCCAAAAGAAAAGCTACAGCAAAGAAGATGTGAACTGATAATCGAACAGAAATTTTCCACCATTTGATTCTAAATACATTGAATGAGGATGAAAAAGGATCCCAAAATACAACAT